CGATGGCTTCCCGTAAACGCTTCAGAGCGTTATTTGCCTGGGCCACTCTCAATTCTATCTCTACGCACCAGGCTTCTCCCAGTGATGTAGGGAGGAGGGCTGCTTGAAATGAGGATGGTAAGAGGATTTGTTGATGTTCGGCCGATCCATATCCCTGATCAGGCAAACTGGGTATGCTCGGTGCTGGGGTTTCCTCTTCATCACAATCGCTCCAGTCATCGTCATCCACAATATCCTCCGAGAGCGGTGGATCATGAATAGTTCCTTCATTAATTTCCAAGTTGGGAAAATGGCCTTGACCGGCCTCGGAAAACTCTTCAAGTCGCTTGGACAGCTTCTCTCGACGTTTCATTATCTCCAGCTTCTGATCGGCACTTGGACGACTGCCTTGAGCCTTCACAAAGGCGGCCAATTCGGCTCTGGATTGTTCAATGTTTGAATCTAGCAATATTTGACTTTACTCACTGGGCTTCCTGAATTTTGATACCGGTGTTTACCCATCCAGTTAACCCCGGCTTGACCTTGCCTGCCTGTTCTTTAGTCATAAGTTTTAGCCGAATGCCCTTTTCGGTCTCGGCTGATTGAATGATTTTACAGCTGGCCTTTGTGATGGAAAACTTGGTCCTTACCTTCCTTGACCTTGATGTAATAGATGTCCATGGCGGAAAGGTCCTTTGCCCGATTCAAATTTGCCGTTTTGATGTGTTGCTCCCATTCTTGAATCTGTTCCTTACTTGCTGAGGCACTTAATTCTTCAAGAGCCTGGAAGCTCTCAGAGAGCCCGAGTTTTGCTCGCTTCCACTTCTTGCAAAGGCTACTCACTTGACGTTTATTAGCTTAGAAGCAATGTAAAAGCAGTTGAAAATAGATACCCATATTGATCATTTTTTTCCAGTTATTATCCAGCATGTGAGCATCCAACACCTCCGATCTATGGGCCAAAGTCATTGTCCGGGTGGTGCGACCGACCTCGTTGAGAACAGCCCACAAAGTCTCCAATATCTCTCCATCTGTTTGACCGGCCCCGGGGATGAATGTTGGGGCAAATCGTGGAAAGCATATTTCTTGATGGCCATGGACATGGAATAAGCCGATCCCGGCTACCAATAACAAGTCTGGTCTGATCCAGAGGTGTTTCGCACCATGTTTTATCCGAGCCATCAAATTCACCATATACTGGCAGTTGATGTCATAGACAAAAATAACCCTTTTTTCTTCACCGGTCATGGTATTCTTCAGAGCCTGGCACAAGGCATAGTCCATGTTCATTTGCCTGTTTGGTAAATCAACGATTCAACCCGAGGATAACTTGCATACCGTTCTCCCTTTTGAAAATCTACCACCGAACCCGGACAAAAGGTGCCATGTCAAAGGCAAGCAATGGCTCCAATTCCAGTAGCGTCAAAACCTCGGTGAAATACATTCTTGTTGTTGATAGCATTGTGCTCATGACATGTCCTCGGCTGAAAGATTCAGACACCGGCCGAGTCGCTCGAAGGATAAAAACTTACATCATTATCTTCAATCGCGTCCCGAAGGTGGCTCAAATAAGGTCCTCTTTGCGTCATGAAACTATCCCCATTTTTAAGCCAAACATCGTCTTTGGGCCGTGCCTGTTTTTGGTGGGCTGCTGTGAAATTGCCATCGGCTACAAATCCTCTGGTATACTTCCAGTTAGTAGGATCATTGGGGTTTTTGTTCCAGTCATCAGGAAGGTTGACTCCCGGTTGTGGGCAGGTAGGGCAAAAAAAACCCATCTCCCCCGGCGTCGGAGCCTTACCTTTGTGTCCAAATCCAAAAGTAGCCAGTTCGGTAAGATTACGGTATTGTCTACCAACCCTTATTAACTCGTGATACCGGTTCTGTCAAACGTTTTGAGATGGGAGTATACCTCGGTACTTGAACAACATACCGGAATGGAATTAGGAAATGCAAAGTTGGTGATCCTTCTCAATTTGGAGTAGTAGTGGGTGGCCGATGTTTTACATTCCAGGTTTTCCAGCAGGTAGTCATCGAGGAGTTGGAAGGTAAATACGGTCTGGCAAGACTTGTAGGTGGATGGGTATAACCCAACCCGGAACAACTGTATGTCCTCGGCTGCTGCACCAGAACATC